CACTTACGATGATTTTATTATATATAGAAAATACATCTTTTTTAACTCCGTAATTCTCCTTTTAAAAATTTTAATATTTTCAACCATAAGAAGGTCTTGAAATATAAAATGATAAGTACCTAACAATTATAAGTGATTTTGGCTTAATGATGTGAAGACTCGTTYAAAGGAAATTATCACTTTCTGGCTGGCTAACTCTATGAAACTTTGTTCTTTTTAGGTGGGGGGAGGGAAATTTAAGGGCGCGTTCTGCTTAATTTGATGTTTATTCTAAGTCCATAGAATGACCATACTTTTGACTTAGAAAGTAAGACGAGCATTACCATGGTAGACCTAATAAAACTTGTTTTAATGCTTTTTTTTTCTTTAATGGATAATGATATGACAAACAGAGCACGTACATGGYCAGCATAATCTTTAATAGTCGCTTGGGGATATGAATTTTATCACCTTCTAATGAAAAGTCTTTTCGACAAGATCGACAAAAGAAAATAGAATCTTTATTTGTTTATTGATTTTTTTAAGTCAACAATCCGTATCTAGTCGCGCCTGTTTTAAYTCAAGTTCTTTATTGTAAATCAAAAAGTATAAAACATTTAAGGATGAAGAATGAAATAGAAATTTACATGTCGTTTCTTAAACCAAAGTAGTGCRGTTACGGCAACGCATTGATACAAAATAACCATCTATAAGAAAAATAATGGCGATATCTTTAAGATTATGAATCCGTATCACTCTTTGTTTATCCATTGATGTACAAAAATCCATGCTTTCAATTAATTGTAATTTAGTCTCGACCTTTAGTCTGAATTTAAACATGCCGACTGTAATATCAGTCATTCAGAATTACAATTGAAATTTACGACGTAAGTCTTAGAAGAATACCAAGCAACACTATTCACCTCAAAAGCATGCGACAAAATACGATATCAAATATCCATTTGCTTTTTTTCTCTTATGATCGATTAGAAATGAGGGCAAGTTGTTTTTTAACACAAACAGTCCAACAATTTTTAATTGGGTATTGAAAGGAATAGCCAAACTCTGGATGGTATTAGTTGGTTGATCATAAAAAAACACAAAACATCAAAGAGTGGTGATGTTTTTTTTATTTCCAAACAATCTTGGTTTTATAATTTTTAATGCGAGGGGAAGTAGTTAAGAAATTTGCTATCAAAACCAAGCCCTTTGTCGATGGCGGTTCTTGMAGCTCCTGCTGTTTGCCTAATCTGTGGTCTTAGTAGTTTATCGAGACGTCTTGCCTTTTCTAATTCTTCAGCAGTCAATCCAAAAAGCTTAATTGCTTTCGACGATAATGGGCTGAAATCTCTTCTTGGTATACGACTCAAAATCTCTGGAGAAAGACCTGAAATAAATATATATGTTGTTAAAATTGTCCTTGTCGTTGTTGATRGTAATTACAGAGAATCATAGAGACCACTGTTGTAATTTGCTTGATCTGCAGCATCGTCCCTCGGACAGCAACCGCCAACCATTAGCTATGACGATTAATTAAAGGCAAATCAAGGCAACTTCTGATATGGTTAAAAGATCTGACTTGGTTAAAAGAAATGTATTGTCAATTATTGAGATGGCTACCTTTGCGCCAATATTAAATAGTTGATTTGGCATGACAACACCGCTGCAATAATGCCGATACCATCCATATTACACTCTTAGATGTCAATAATATTCATGMTCTCTTTAGTGACTTACTTCTTAGCCTTGTAAGAACGTTAGCAATAGTAGGGTTAGTGGTTGTTTGGTATTCAACYCTTATGTGACCCAACAAGTTATTGTTGTCCAGAACAGAACGAGGATGTAAGTTTGTACTGGGCATATTATCTGTAAACGTTGTTTCATTGAAGAATACATTCATATGTCTTGCGCTCTTCTTTTGCCAATCGTCCCACAACTGCAACAAATGTCAAACAATCACTATCAGTAATATCTTATRCTTTCGTGCCGAAACGGTCAATACTTTTTAATACTGGAACTGATTTTCTTTTTTGAACTGTCATTGCGAGTGTAATTATTCACGATAATGCAACAAAATGGTTCATGATTCCTTCGACTTCGAAAGTCATGATTCATTTGATTCCTTCCATCCGCGATGGAAATGAAATTCTCAATTCCTGGAAATGGTAACAATATACATGTATAATGTATAGAACTAATTATAAATATGCTATCATGTGCATAAAGCTCATGTCACCTTGTCTATAAAACCATGATGAAGAAAGAATTCAGGTGCAGCTGCAGAGTCGAATGAGCACATCGTACCGTCAATAGCACAGTGAGTAAGATCATGCAAGTTAATTCTTAGATTAATCTCAAAATCATTGAACTTTTCAGGACCCACGGCTAAMACTTTAGCTACTGCCACACTATCTGGAGGTCTTCCATTGAAGAACCTCCTCAAACATCTAGGAGCACCAGGAGGAAAAGGAAGCTGAGCTGATGGMACYAGTTGCCATGGACTCTTAAAGGGACCATTTCCAACGCATCCGTAAGGTGCAACCCCGTTTCCTCCAAAACCACCTTTGCCATCATACCATACGTCCTTAGGGAGAGTGCCCCATGGATTTCCTGATACAACACTCCAGTCCCAGTAAGGTACGGTGATATTACAGTCAACACGTCGAAGAAGGTTCTCATATTGTAAAATGAACCACCGATGCCATGTTAAGAAGTGCTCTTGTCTGTGTATACCTGATGGAACGAACAATACTTTGTGGATCGTGAGTAAACTGTCGTATTCAGCCTTGAATCTAATAAGTAAAAAAAAGTTCTAGATTAATTCCAGCTACAATGGAAACGYGTACAAAGTAAAGTTTGACATTTATGAATTTTATAAAACTCAATCGAGCGTAATTATCATACCCCTGGAGATAACACAAAATTACACTAATTAAGCAATAGAAGAAAAAGRATTTTGCATTAATTTGCGCTTTTTCGTAAGCAGACTACTTTACGGATATTGCGAATGCACTCTGTGTATTATATAAATATATCTTAACTGTTGGTGCGATATCTTAACTATATGCGCGATATTCCTATTCAGTGTAGGCGTTGTCGTTCGTTSGAAATACCTTAAAAGAGTATTATGCCGACACATAGCAATACAAAATTGACATACTTGCTAGATGTGGAAACTGTGAGTATAGCATCGATATATCTTTGACGCTCATCCACATTCATTGAAGTAAACTCTTTTCTTATRCGAGTGCACTTGACCAAGGCACCMGATGATGAGCACACACAACGCTGACTACATTTATCGTAGACATAAGCACCTTCCTTACAGCCTAAAGTATACATAATATCATTACAARTGCATTACTTATGGAGATGGGAGTCATAACAAAAACTTCCAATACATTTTTTTCTTATAATTCCCCAGTTTCCTGTGTTTATCACTCTGAAAATCTAATGATTT